TTAAGACTTTAAGGTTTAGATAGGACTCTTAGAGGCAGGTGGGGCAATTGGTGAGCCAGCCAATCAGTGAACGGCGGGCGGGAGGGCAAGCATGGTACAGATGGGCAGGGGGAGGGAGCTGGAACCAGTTCTAAATGGCATGGTAGATTTGTGGAACCTCTTCTATAGAAGAGGTTAGAACTGGCAGGAACCCACCCCTGTTCTGTATAGACATACCTATGGTCTATGCAATGTTTCTTAATTTTGGCATTTTAAGACATGTGGACTTCAACTCTCAGAATTTCCCAGGCAGCATGCTAGCTGGGGAATTCTGGGACTTGAAGTCCACACATCTTAAAAACATCAAGGTTGAGAAACACTGGTTTAGAAATTAAAGCAAGTATGAGAAGAAACTCAGTGATTATTGTATAAAATGCGGCATAGAAAAACACCAGTTTCCAAATTTCTCTTATTATACCTTACTATAGTGAAGAACACTCTTGGAATCCCTGTGGCTTGTTGAGCCTGGAAAGGGATGACGGTGTGACCCTTGGACTAGAAGAAGTCAGAAACCCTGGACTTGGGCATTGGTGAATCTCTTTGTGAAAGATAGCAGTCCCTGGAAATTCTTCATATAGCCTTTCTAAGAATTAAGAGGAAACTGTTTCCAGGCTGAAATATAGGGATGAAAGAAAATCTGCTTTTCAAGCAAGGAAATGACTTAATCTTTATTATGAATCGTTATGTTGTCCTGACTTTGACGTTTGCTTATCGTTCAAATGTCAGATATATCATACACACATAGATATGACATATTATGTAGAACAGTGTTTCTTAAAGTGGGATTTGAGAATCCCTGGAGTCCCCAAGACCTTCTCAGGGGTCCATGAAATCAAAATTATTTGATAATTATTTGATATTGAAGATATTTGAGAAAATTTAAAACAATGTTAATTTTATTATTATAAGTAGTCCTCGACTTAGAACATTTCATTTACTGTTGAAAGTTACAATAGCAATGAAAAAAGTGACTTATAACCATTTTCACACTTATGACTGTTGCAGCATCCCGATGGTCATTTGCATGCTTGGTAAGTGGTTCATATTTATGACCGTTGCAGTGTCCCAGGATCATGTGATCATCTTTTGTGACCTTCTGACAAGCAAAGTCAATGGGAAAGCCGGATTCATTTAACAACTATGTTACTAATTTAACAACTGCAGTGATTCACTTAACAANAATACAACTTTTTTGTCACTTTAAATGTACAGTTATCAGCATACATTAAAATAAATTATCATTGCATTTATCATTGCATTCATCTCTCAAAGGATGACTATTATGTATATTCCCACTTACATACAGAAACATCGCAATCTAGTTCGAATGTACATGGCGTTTTGCCATATACATGCCGGGGAAAAAAGAATCCTGCAAATTTACAAGACAGATGCATAAGGAACAAAACTGTTACAGAACTTAGTAGTCTTGCTATAAATACTTTGAAACCTTAATCGTGCACCTGTAAAAAGTGCCAGGGCAGAAGGAGAAATATGTGCTCTTCTCATTTGATGCAAGAAATGCAAACACTGTTTTGCATGCTTCACCAAAGGTAACGTATGAAGAGACCATCAAATTTGTAGTAACTACACCCCCAGATACTTAATACTGTTGACTACCTCTACCACTGCAGCCTTGATACAAAGTGGAGTATGATTATGCTGACTTTCTAAAATCAACAAAGATCTCCTATTGTTTATTCAAAACCAGGTTATTTTTTTAATGCACCAGTCCACCAAACCTTTACCTCTTCCCTATAAGAATCTTCACTGTCATCCTGGATAAGACCCACCATTGCTGTGTTATCTACACACCACAATATGATTCATAGCAGTCTTGACACAGCAGTCATGAGTCATCAAGGTGAACAGTATTGGACTCAAGGCACAATCCTGTGGAACTTGTACTCAAGGAGATGAAATTGGAACCTTTTCTTCCAACTCACAGAAACTGGGGCCAATAAGTGAAATCAAATTTTGTTGACCTGATCCCATTCAAATTTTGCAGGGCAGTTTCAAAATTTTATGTGTGAAGGAATCTAGAAATGATCCTGAAAGAATCGTTGATGAGGGACTTAGAGAAGCAATTATGTACAAGTACAACCACAGTTTGGACTAGAATTTCACTTGCTAAACAAATAAGTTAAGTCCCATCTAATTTTACTACTTTTTTGCCATAGTTGTTAAGTGAATCACTATGGTTAATGAATCACATAGTTGTTAAACAAATATAGCTTTCCCCCTTGACTTTGTCAGAAGCAGGCTGGGAAAGTTGCAAATGAAATTAGAATCCTGCAACATGCTGGTTGCCAAGCACCTGAATTTTGATCACATGGCCATGGGGATGCTGCAAAAGTTGGAGGACCAGCCATAAGTAACTTTTCTCAGTGCCATTGTAACTCTGTACCAGTGGTGGGTTTCAAAATTTTTTAGAACTTCTTCTGTAGGTGTGGCCTGCTTCATGGGAGTGGCTTGCCGGCCATGTGACTGGGTGGGCGTGG